CAACAATCGGGTCGAGTCGAATTCGGGTCCTGTAAATATTAACGGGTTCGAGTTCGAGTTTGCTTCAAACCCGACCCTTACGGAGCACTAATTAGAAGATTTAGACACTCTTTGATAGTATTCGCTAGGTAATTTTTATTTTAAAATAGCAATATTAATGTAAAAAAGTAATAATATATATAACAGGTTTACTTCTCATAATATTGAACAGATCCAACAAAAAGTTTTTAAATTTCTTCAAGTTATTGTCTAGAAAAGTTAATTCAAAATCTAACAAATTTCGCCCACCCATTTATATGTCTACAAAATTTAAAATAAACTTAATAAATATTATAAAAAAGTTGATTAAGAAACTATATACCTTATAAGTAAATAATTGTGAAGTAGTGGAAGTGAATATAAGACAATCCAGTTATACCAATCTACTGCTAAGTGATGTTTTTGAATATTAATAGGAGATCTTCCAAATTCTATTGGCATTGCTTTCCAATTTTGTTTCATTATTTTTGAGATTTCATTCCAGATGCTAGATTAGATTTTATAATCTGTATCATTAAGTATTTCTTTATTGAAAAACTTGCCACGAAAATACATGTTTCAAAATGTGTACTGAAAATGATGCACGAAAATTGATTGAATGCAACTCTAATAAGATGCTACAACCATTAAAACCTATTAAAAGAATGTATTAATTTAAATATAAATATTTTATAATTAAATAATTATAAAATTTACCTCGTTCATGTTATAATTTATTTCTAACCCCTTCACTTTCATTCTCTATTACTTCAATATCTTGAAGATGACTAGTATGAGAACGTATTGGTAATTTTTTTTTGGATTATAATTAGTTCCATCATATCATTATTGGAGCTGAAGTTAAAAATAAATATGTCGAGCTGATCAGAATTTATTCCATCGTATTATGTATACACCGGTGGAAATTTTTTATCACTTACTCCAACGGTTTATAATAAGTATCATTGATGTAATGAAAAATAAGAATATTTATTTTAGAAAAATTGCTTATTTTAAATGTCAGTTTATTAATATAAAGATGAGATGTACATTGTTAGTGATAATCTTTTTATGACGTACGATACTGCGCCAAGCATAGTTGACGAATGGTAATCTGGATGATCACTTTCTCACATTTCACTAATTTCTTAGTGATCAATAATTTCTCACATTTTATAATATCTTAGCAATCTCTAATTCTTTAATATATTTAATTTCTTTATTTTATTATATTTCTTATATTTTTTTACTATCTTAAATATCTATTTCATATTGATGTATTATATATAAATATTGTATATTTCTGCCTCAATAAATGGCAGAGTTGTTACCAATTCTCTAATAAATCAATAATATTTTATCTCTTAAACTTATCTTTGCTCATAAAATAATTCATTCTTCTTTAAATCCATATCATTAAAGATGACCTGACCCTTTAATTTAATTATTCGTATTTATTTCTTTTATATTTTAAACGTACTTAAACTTCTTGCTAGCAAATAATTTTTGTTAACTTAACAACGAACAGTTTAAGCTTAACAACATATTTAATTATACTATGAAGATGTATCTTTATATTCTGATTATTCACTAAATTTCTCTTTTTCATAAGATAATAGTGTTAAATCGTTAAATCTTATGGCTTTTATTAATCAAAAAAAATATAATTAAAATGTATAAATAATCTAAATATATGTATTAAAAAATGTTTAAGTTAGTTAATTTTATTTGTTAAAATTCATTTCTAAAGTTCTTAAAGTTGATATATTTCTTTATCTTTAATGTAAATATAGAAAACATAATTAGCTTCTTGTTTTTAATTCGCTTGGAATTCTTCATCTGCATTTAGCTTATTATAACATTAAATTGCATTGTTTCAATGTGATAAAAATTAATTATATAAGATAACATTAAAGATATACAAAAAAAAAAAAAATGTATTAATAATTCCACTAGTGTATATATATCATATACAATATGATAAGCCAATTATTCCATATAAAGTTATAGATAACTGGATTTATGCATGGGTTATATAATAATCACATGCGTTTATGTGTATATAATTATATCTATATCTTGTAAATAACCTAGTTATCTGTAATTTCATATGGAAATACAAGAATGTATTCTTAAACTATCAATTATAGAAAAATATGCAGCTAATTTTCAGAATTGCTTTATATTTTTTAGGTATATACCGTGGCTTTTCACAAATAGAATAGGCATTATAATCTGCATTATTTTCAATAAATATACAATATGAATTCCAATAGTTCTCTATAAGTATTAGTTTTAGAATAATATTTTTTAAGATTTTTGAAGTTTATAAAGAAAAATATTAATATATCAAAAACTGCTATTATTTTATTAAATGTTTTATTATATATTTTTTCTTAATATAAAGGAATTGAAGTCCTTTTATTAAATTATCTGATAAATTTTTGCTAGCGAATAATTACTCTTGCTACCAAAACCAAAACTATAATTAAAGCTCCAATTCCTATCACTCATCCAGTTAGAAATTTATTTTTATTTGTAGTATTATTAGTGTTTTCATTGGTATCATTTTTCAATGCCTTTTACAGTGCTTCAGTTATGTTATATTAAGCCAATATTTTGATTGGTCAAAAATGCACATCACTTCATTACATTCTTTAGTATTTATTAGTTTAGTATGTAGCGAAAGACTATTAAATTCTACATATATTGACTGAAAATGTTCTGGATTCCTTCTGCTTATGATTTGAATCGATCTGTTATTAGTTACAATTATTGTACAATTATGAAATAGTAATCACTCATGATCACAATCTTAAATATTGAAAGATTTTTGCTTTAGACTTTCTAACAATTTCCATTACCTAATTACAAATAAATTAATGTTTAAAGAATATAAATGATTAAAACAAAAATAAATACTTTTTTATCATTATAAATATAGTATATATTTAAATAATTATTTTTTTGATAAAAATATTAATCTATAAAATATTTATTAAAAAACTCTTATATTTGAAAATTTATTAAATTACTTTACAAATATAACAAATTATTTATGTATATACAAATATTATTGATTATAATATAAATTTATTTAAATAATATAAAAATATTTAATTCAACGCTTAATGAAAAATGAAGTTCTCTACATATTGCAACTTCTTATTATTACGTTAAAATTTCAAACTTTCAATTTTAATATCAACTCTTTATATGAAAGTAAATTTTTGATGCAATTATATTAATTTATATTTTATTTAATAATATATGATTGATGATTACTGAATTAAAATTTAACTAATAAAAATGAATTTTTATTTTTATTTTATTTTTTATTATAAATTGTTTTAAGAGAATTAGAATCACAAAAATTTCAATATATAGACAAGATTCGAAACTATAACTTCTTCTAATACTACTTAATCCACTATAATAAAAGAAAATTTATTCATGAAAACTTCCATTTTTTTGCAATCATCTTTGATTTACTAATCCTTTTCATTTAAGTTTAAGGAAAACTTTAAATATTCATAAACTTATAATAATCATAGTTTAATAACTTTTTTATATATTAGTTGGATAGAAATAATAAATATATAGGCTATAATATATAGATACAAAATAAGGTAGAATAGAATACTATAATTGAAACTACAACCGTCATAGACAATCAAGAAAAATAGACTTATATCAATGATCAAATGAGATATTCTCATAAAGATTATCATTTAAAATCCCTGATTTTATAAAAACATATTTGCTTATTTTTATAGTTAATAATAATAATGATAATAAATCACAAGTCAAAATCAAAAATGAAGGGATATCAATGTTAATACTATCATAGTAAATAAGTGGCAAATATATCTATGTCTGTAGGATAGCTAATTCATTACTTTTTCACAATCATTTTTTCAAACTGTATGATTAATTTTGCTTCTTTATTTTTTTTTATATCAATTAAATTTATTTCATTATATAATTATATTTAATTCAATAAAAATTTATTGAGAAGTAAATTTGAAATTTTTAAGGTTTTTTAAATAAATATAAATATTACCTGCTATATTGTATTATTTTTTGTAAAAATAATATCACAGTACGATACTTGAAATTTTGTATTTTAAAACTTTAATATTTTTTGATTTAAAGAAAGGAAATTTTTGAAATAGATAAAAAACAATAAAAAGTTATATAGAATTGCTTGAAAAATAATTAAATATTCAAAAATCAAATCTTTTCTAATATCATAAATCATCAAAAATTATCTCAAATTGATGTTATAACTGAAATAGTAAATTGAATTTGGGGTTATCTGAATTTTAACTTAAAAAACATATAATATAAAAAATCAATTTAACCAATTACAATATGCCTCCTACTTTTTACATAACTAAAGTAAAAATGTCAACTTTTTTTATGCAAAAATATTTTTGAATTATAATAATTAAATAGTAAAATTTTAATTATAGATATTATTTTTTAAAAACAAATTTTGTTATGATAATTTCAATGAAAAAATATATTATTTTTATTCTTATATTAAGTTTATAAATAAAAAAACTTTGATTAAATTATTACTATGCCAATAAAAGTCTTTATAATTAAATTTTCTATTTTATAATAGTTTATTTAATTTAATTTTTTAAATATTTTTGCTTTATTTATTAATTTATTGGGCAAACTAATTTCACTGATTTGATTTATAAAATGTTTTCATATTAAGGTTTAGATTTAGGAAAATAATTTCACCATAAATATTATTATTTATGATTTATCTTTTGAGAGGCTGGTAAGAAGATCCTTAGAAATTTATATGAAGAGTATTCATTAGTTTGCATATACTGAAGTCATTTGAACAATCATAACTGAAAAAATTTATACTATTCTTTATTAATGATAATGTCAGTATAATTTTCTTTTAACTAGTATAGTATACAAGCAATCTTAGTATAACAGACTTAATGCTGCTAAATTAATTACAGATTAATGAAAAATTACAAGCATATCTAATGATGATAGATATTGAGGAAGGTGATTAGTTAATTCAGTTAATTCCTATACATCTTGAAGAAAATTGATCATATTTTCACAGTATCTGTGTTGTTTTCTCTGAAGTCTATATACTGATATTATAGGAAAAACTCATTCAATAAACATTCTTTCAATTTCTGTATGACTTTGAAGCTTCTTAGATAGTGATACCTGACCAAACTCTTTTTTAAAAAATTGTAATTTCATCAAAAGTTTCATCTCTTTAATATTTTTATATGTATAAATATAAAATTATTATATTTTTTAATGTATTTTAATTCAAGAAATTAAATTAAGTTAAATATAATTTTAGCAATTAAGTAAAATAATTTCATCATTAATAAAAAACTAGTTTCGTCATTTCAGTT